GGCTCGAATATCGTTCCTGAAGTGACCCGACCGTAAATTCTTTTCACTTACACGCCGGTATCGTTCCAATACCAGGCAGGGTATATAAAATTTAGTTCTTATATACAGTTTTACGTTCAGTTCATTATTCAAGTATTGCAAATGAACAGTAGCAATTTTTTATTACACGAATGAATTCATTGTATGCATATAAAAATGTATCTACGAGGAATTGATTCCTCCACCATTTTGAAAATGTCATCATTTCCGGAAAACAAAGTCCTGTTAGTTTTAATTAATACGTCTCTTTCATTATATTTTATTGGAGGTACGTCGAGGGTTTTATTTCCATTATTTCATAAATAGAATGATACTTCTTAATTAAAACTTTTTTATATTGCATACTTTTATTCATAAATAAAACCCAATTTCATCAAGTACAAGATTACCCTTTTACTACGGAAAAAGTAAGAGGGAACGACAATCACTAAGAGTGTCGCTTTTAGGGGTACGATGGCTCATTTTCGACTAACAGAATGCAGCCGGGACGGCGCCGTGAGAGGTGGCGAAGATGGGTGCGGCGTGTGGTAACGATCGCAGGTCATTAGCAATGCTAATGCACCTTCCGACTGATGAGGGAGCGTAATGCCTCTCTGGTCGGGCGGCTCCAGTTTTCGATGCTATTTCCCTCCGCTACTTTAAAACGGCCGAATTCTAAACGTTTTCATGCCAACTATCGGCTTCCTATTAAGGATCGTGATTCTCGATCCTTTTTCGAGAAATTAGAATCTTTTCTGTAAAACAGAGACTTTAATTGTGCGTGAATATGAACTGGACGAAGAAGAACTCATTGGGAAGGGTATCCGTCGTTCTGTAACGAAAGTGAGTTCCAAATTCGTCCTGGAAACGTGACATGGGTACTTCGAGTTCAGTGAAGTTGTTACAGTACCTCGTAAAAGTTCCTGATTAAAGAGACTCGGTATGTCTCAACCATCCATGGACACGTCGATGGAATTGTACTCATTATTTAGAGTACAATTTTATCATTGTGTCATTTTATAAATGTTTTATTTATAAATTTATATTTTTTCAATTGAATTGACGAAATAGAGTCCATTATAATATTTTCGTGTATAAGGAAACAAAAGTACAGAAAATTAACTGGTGCTTGCGATATTTTCTTTGTCTACGAAAGGGAACGACTCCGGACGTTTGTTGGGTCGAATGAATTTTTCCTGTTCCGGGAAAGGACATGGCGATTGTAGAAACATCGTGTTTTCTTTGGTTATTACGAGCAAGTACGCGGAGCATCTGGCCACGCTGATGGCGCCATTAACGAAAGAAACTGTTGTAACACGGTGCTCCTCGAGGGTTGTTTGCCCCGCCATGATCCGATTACGTAAACGCGCGACGGAGCGCGTGCTGCTTCCTCGGGAAGCGATTACAATTTCCGTTGAAACGTTACGGTTAACGTTTCGCCTTTCGCGAGAACGTAAACTACTTAGGGAAGGAATTAAAGTAATTTCGGCTGATGAGGACCGAAGGTACTTCCTTCGAATGCGATCGTCCCGAGAAATCCTTTTAGAGTCGTGGGATACACGTGTATGTTTGATCTTGAACTTAACGGGACAAGATTCGCATGAAACGTGTATAGGCAAACGGCTCGTCGTCGTGTTGAGACGCAATTAATTAGCTCTGTTCTTTTCACGTTCAAGTAAACACTTCGCAATCGATGATCAACAAGTAGCGACTTTCTATTCTGTGTTCGGAAGACGTTGCCTTCGTTGACCAACCCTAATTTTCATATTAGATCAAAACTAGCTTACAGTATTCGTTCATTCACACAAGGAGCTTTTACACAGATCAGACTACTTAATACTTTATAATTTCATATACTCCCTTGTGTAGGCTTTGTCCGTTAGAGCCTAGGGCCTAGGGGAGATCGTATGCAGCGTCGTACCTGCTCTCCCCCTTTGCCCCGCGTAGGGTCGTAGGTTTTTGCAATCGCGAGGAACCGTTTCGCGACGACATATAAATACACGCGAATATAGAAGGACAGAAGAGTCGGTAATAAGTGCGCATTCAATACGTGTCAGCGAGACGAGATCCAATAAAGAAAAGGTGGATCGATCATCACCAGTGTTAATAAGTGAACTATCCTGACTCATTTTCCATAAATTATACATTTTAAGACACTTGCGTCCTACACTTGTAACATTTACTACTTATAATTTTACATTTAGCGTGACAATTTTATATACTAATATTCCTACGAATATCTCAACGTTACAGGGGGCGATTTTTGTCATCGAGCGGAGAGGGGGGCGTTGTTAGAAAATTTGGCTGTTGGCTTTGGCCAGACGCTATCGTTGCCGAAATTTTCAGCGATCTTCGCGGCGTGGCGCGGTTAATTTCCTTGTCGGTGGTAATTAGCCCGCAGGAACGACAGATAATTAGCGAGCTCGAGGCGATCGTGGGATCGCAACCCCGGTTGAAGGCGAAGGGATAACTTTATTCGCATACGAAATCCGTTGCGGAGAATTTCGGCGGCGTCGGGTTTAGGAGTAGGACAGACGAGAACCGGTTGAGAAGGATGGGGGTGGCGCGGGGCGGGCGGCGAAGCCAGGACATTGTTAACAGCATTGCTGCCTAATTAACCGCAAACGCTTTCAGTGGGTTTCGCCTGGTCTATTGTTTACATGCGGGCATGCCGTCTGTATGATAGTGCTCGACGACCGAACCAGCTGAAATATTTCCATGGAGATTCTCTCTGCCGCTTTGTGCCCTGCCGCGCCGCGCCCGGGCGTCTATCTGGCTCGGAGCGTGGATTGTACGCGATGGAAGTAACGTCCACTCGTGGGAAACATCGAAACACGGCTCGATACACTCGATCTCTCGTCCTTGAAAATCTTCTTTGTCTTCGCAAGATCGGAAAAGTTCCTTTCTATGTGATAAGCCTATTACCATTATAGGATTGTATGATTTATAACAAAACAGTTTTATATTATATAATTGAAGATCTGCCATGTATTTGCATACGTGAAATCGGACGATCGTCTATTGTCATTCTGTTTGTAAAGTCTGAATCCATGTGAAAGCAGTATTATATTTTATTTTAGATCAACGATAAATGGAAACAGAAAATTAATAATGTAATTGTTGAACCAAACGGGTGTACAGCCCGGCGCAAGCTGCCAAACTGCAACTTAAATACCTAACAAATTGCAACGAAATAATAGATTAATTACCAGCGGGAGGCCAGGATCGAAACAAAGTATCGCGAGCTGTCAGTGGCAGTGTTCGCCCGCGGCCGACCGCGCTACGAGTCAGCTTTCATTAATTTTAATTGACGAAGGGAATCCGCGCAATATCGGGGAAAAAGTTGGCTCGCCGCGACCGGTTCAAGTTAACGATTTCATTTCGCGGCGATCGCCGGGGTTAACGAGCTTTGGAAATCAAGAAAATTGTATATCGCTAAGTCGCCACCTTCGGTTCGTTTCGTAGTTTCGCGAGCGATAATAAGCCACTCTGGGCTCCCTCGCGAAAACGCTTAATTCCGAAAGCTCGTTTGCGCACCAGGTAAATAGAGCTGAAAATTAAACTCGGCCGGCTAACTTTCTTGTCGCGCGAGCCATCTCTGGCTCGTATATAACGCGATCCTGTTATCGGATGCCGGAACGGTATTTTTAGCCGGGGCACACGCGTGGAAACTCGGGTGTACGCTCCGCAGGTGTATATCCTGTATGCATTGAGGCCAGGTCTTAAAGTTGTATGAGCTGTAAGAGCTCTGCCAAAAGTTTAAGACATGTAATAAAAAGCTGTGTCCAATATTTGAAGCAATGAACTTTTAGAAAAAATTATTATTACACAGGAGTAAGGTTCATAAAATTGTTCAACCTGTTTTTCTCGATCATCATTCAACATAGAAATTGAAGACGTAAGGTCTTTTTTAATAGGCTTGCAATTGCAAAATAATCAGGGGTTTTGTGGAACACGTTGTATCTTATAAACGAGGTACAAGTAGAAGTAGTCAGGGATAAGTCAGACGG